TCTTTTCAGTCAGGTCAAGTTTCTAAGCTTTCTAAATCTCCGTTTTCCAGCTAATGAAAAAAAAAATAGGATTCCACCGAGTCTCCTAAGGACTCTACGACTTCTGTGAGGATCAAATGAGATGAGGCATGGGAAAACGCTTCACAGACATTTGGTTACAGTGTAAAGTGTTTCCACCTGGCTATAAAGCAAGTTGTATTCCTGGGCTGAAGAAACTGCAAGGAGGCTAGTCGCTAGGGAGAGGAAGTCGGGCGTTGCTACGTGACATCATTACCCAAACACTTAGCATATTATCCTTTTATATATATACTAGAGGCCCGGTGCACAAAAATTTGTGCACTCGGGGGGGAGGGGAGGGTCCCTCAGCCCGGCCTGTGCCCTCTTGCAGTCTGGGACCCCTCGAGAGATAATGACCTGCTGGCTTAGGCCTGCTCCCGGGTGGCAGAGGGCAGGCCCAATCCCTAGGTGCAGCCCCTGGTCGGGCTCAGAGCAGGGCCACACCCCCTTCAGGGTGGGGGTCCCCACTGGGGTGCCTGGCCAGCCTGGATGAGGGGATGATGGCTGTTTGCAGCTGGTCACACCCCCTTCAGGGTGGGGGTCCCCACTGGGGTGCCTGGCCAGCCTGGATGAGGGGATGATGGCTGTTTGCAGCTGGTCACACCCCCTTCAGGGTGGGGGTCCCCACTGGGGTGCCTGGCCAGCCTGGATGAGGGGATGATGGCTGTTTGCAGCTGGTCACACCCCCTTCAGGGTGGGGGTCCCCACTGGGGTGCCTGGCCAGCCTGGATGAGGGGATGATGGCTGTTTGCAGCTGGTCACACCCCCTTCAGGGTGGGGGTCCCCACTGGGGTGCCTGGCCAGCCTGGATGAGGGGATGATGGCTGTTTGCAGCTGGTCACACCCCCTTCAGGGTGGGGGTCCCCACTGGGGTGCCTGGCCAGCCTGGATGAGGGGATGATGGCTGTTTGCAGCTGGTCACACCCCCTTCAGGGTGGGGGTCCCCACTGGGGTGCCTGGCCAGCCTGGATGAGGGGATGATGGCTGTTTGCAGCTGGTCACACCCCCTTCAGGGTGGGGGTCCCCACTGGGGTGCCTGGCCAGCCTGGATGAGGGGATGATGGCTGTTTGCAGCTGGTCACACCCCCTTCAGGGTGGGGGTCCCCACTGGGGTGCCTGGCCAGCCTGGATGAGGGGATGATGGCTGTTTGCAGCTGGTCACACCCCCTTCAGGGTGGGGGTCCCCACTGGGGTGCCTGGCCAGCCTGGATGAGGGGATGATGGCTGTTTGCAGCTGGTCACACACCCTTCAGGGTGGGGGTCCCCACTGGGGTGCCTGGCCAGTCTGGGTGAGGGGCTGAGGGCTGCTTTCAGGCTGGCGGTTGTTGACTGAAGCTCCCAACCGCTCCTTTTTTTTCTCTTTTTTTTTATTTTATTCTGGGCCAGCTTTAGCTCTGGCTCTAGCTGTGAGGCTTCCGCTGCTGAAAGCTGGTATCTGGTTTGTTTGCTGTTCTATAATCGAAACAATGTATAACTTCAGCTCTGAGATCCTGGCAGGCTTTTGTTTAGCTTCTACATTTGCAACATAGTACATAGTTGCTTAGAGTTGCAACTCAGAGGCCGGCAAGTTAGGCGTTCCGTTGGAGTCTGCAGTCACTGGAGCAAGGAAGCCTCCCTGCTCGCTTCCAGCTGCCTGGCTGCCGGCCGCCATCTTGGCTGACAGTTAATTTGCATAAGGATATGCTGATTAGCCAATGGGAAGGGTAGCGGTTGTACGCCAATTAGCATGTTTCTCTTTTATTAGTGTAGACTAGAGGCCTGGTGCATGAAATTCGTGCACTGGGGGTTGGGGGTCCCCAGCCCAGCCTGCCCCCTCTCACAGTCCGGGAGCCCTCGGGGGATGTCCTACAGATGTCCACGGGGAGCGGGCCTAAGCCGCAGTCTGGCCGTGGAGGCTCGGAGCAGGCACCCCGTGTGCGTGTGTGTGTGTGTGTGTGTGTGTGTGTGTGTCCGCTGTGGGGGGGCGGTGGGGCCAGGCCAGACCCTGAGTAGTACCACCATTGCTACCACTATCATTAGTGTCTGGGACGCAGGCATGGCTTGAAAAGACTGAACCACACCCCAGGCCTCTCTGACCCTGAGTTTGTTCATCTGGGAGTTGAAGCAGGAGGGGGGCCCCGCACTCGAGGCCCTTCACGGAGACATCTTTTTTGCCCTCAGTCGTCTTCCCCTTTCCAGGCCTGAGGACAGCAACATTCTTCTTGGTTTTTGTTTTTTTACCTATTTTTTTTTAAGAAGGTGGAGATTTCTAGAAAAGACAAAATTACAGAGACAGAAAGCAGACCTGTGGCTGCCTGGGGCTGAGATGAGGTTGACTGCAGATGGGCAAACAGCATGATGGAAGCTTGAAAACGGTTTGTGTCGGTGGTTGAGCTGTTGTGGAAATTCACGCATCAAACAGTATGCTTGCTGTGGGTGAGTTGTATGGCATGTAAGTGCCTCTTCGAGAAAGCCATGTAAAGGCGTACATCTAAAAGGGAACCCTCTTAAAACCACAGTTGGTGTGGGATTACCACCTTCTAGGAACTTGATAGAAAGTGTTCAGTCAATGGTTGTGAACTTGAAGAAGAGTGGAGAGGGTGCTGAATTGGAAGCCTTTATGTGACCTGGGCAGGTCTAAACTCTGTCTGGGTCTATTTCCCCGTCTGTGACATCCTGAGTTGATGCCCTCGGAGGGGTGAGAGGTGCCGGGGACGGCCCCTGCGGTGGCTGCCCTGCCCAGTGCTCTGTGCTGCAGGCCCTCGGGCTGTCCCAGGGTCACTGTACCTTCGCCTTTGCCACAGAGCACCTCTTCCTTCCTGCCTTTGTGCGGAGGACTTCCTCCCGCCAGCCCCTAGAGCAAACACACAGCCGGGAACAACTGGAAAATCCGGATTGGCCTGGCCTCGTTTCCCCCCACCCCTGGCTCCTTCCCTTGACTGGGACCAGAGAAGCAACCAGGAGACTGCCCCGGAGAAAACCCCTCAGACCAAGGGGCCCAAGCACCTCCTGGGCACTGGTACATGTGGCAAGCTAGGCTTTCCTCTCCCCTCGCAGCCCTGACAGGTGACCTCAGCCGCATAGGCTCGGAGCAGGCTCCTGGTGTGTGTGTGTGTGTGTGTGTGTGTGTGTGTGTGTGTGTGTCTGTGTCTGTGTCTGCTGAGGGCCTGCCCCCAGCCACATCGGAGGCTGGGAGCAGGCGCTCCGTGTGTGTATGTGTGTGTCTCTGATAGGGGCCTCCCCCCAGCTCCGCCGCAGAGGCTCAGAGCAGGCGCCCGGGGTGTGTGTGTGTGTGTGTGTGTGTGTCCGTGTCCGCTGGGGGTCTGCCCCCAGCTGCATCTGAGGCTCGGAGCAGGCGCCCCTCTGTGTTGTTCTCTCAGGCTCGGGGCCACACCCAGCCCCTCCTCCTGAGCTGGTTGTGACCATTATGGAGTCTCAACCTCATTTGCATATTACTGCTTTTTTAATATATATATATAGACATATAGATGGGCAAATGAGAGGTGTCTGGCTTGGGGGGGGCGGTGTAGAGGCAGCGTGGGAGCCCTGAGTGGCGCTGTGGGTGCTGGCCGGGGGTGGTTATGCGGTTCTGTCTACTTCTACATGGTGGAAACCGTCGTGTTAACTAGTCTGTTGCTATTGTCTCAGTGAGCTGATAAGTAGAAAGAGGGTGTCACCCCTTTAGTGATGCCCACAGAGGTGAGCATTTCAAGGGCCAAGGGGATGAGTGCTCTGAAGTGGTGCAAAGGACCCAGCCAGGTGACTGCGCGCAGCACTCTGGGGACAAACCCACCCACATGTTCATATGTGGCTCTCATAGAGACCATGGGCTCCTTGGGGAGTGCAGCATAACGAGGTCACCATGTGAGAAAGATGCCGTGGGGTCAGACTCCTGCAGAGTCAGGATCAGGAGCTTGTCAAATTCAGCAGTCTGTCTTGAAGCCCCAGACACCCTTCTGTCCAGACCTGAACTACTCAGTCACACAGAGGAATAAGGCCGCTGAGAGGAGAAAGTACCAAACACGTCATTAGAAAGGTAGCAGAGAGGTGTGCAGAGCGCATGCACGTGCCAGCAGGGTCAGCGTGTGGCTGCTGAGGCCTGGAGTGAGCATGCCTAGTGAGGGGCGAGCACACCCAGCGCCTGGTCTGGGTGTCTAAACACCAGCCTCCAATCAAGGACAGCAGTGGACAATGGAGAAAGCCAGGTCAAGGGCGTGGCTCAGGTAACAGCAACACTGCTGTGAATTCCTCCACTGGGTCGCTGCACCAAGGTGACTGTGTGAGATGGTGATGTTACAGGAAGTAGGTGAAGGGTATACAAGACTCACTGTGCTGTTTTGCAACTTCTATAAAGTCACTGAGGATTCTAACCATCAGAAAAAGGCCTGTGGCTTCTGGACGCCAGTCACTCCTGTCACAGACTCCAAGCATTGGAGCTCTGCCTGCAGCCCTCATGGATGGCCTTCTGGGTCTCACCCTCTGTGTGTGTCCAGGAACCCCACAAACATCCCCATTTCACACCGATTACCAAGAGCACATCACAGAACACTGAGGGAAACGTTCCGAGTTTAACCTACATAGTTATTTCCTCCTGTCCATCAGTAACCTCACTTCCTCACCTCCTCCCCTTACATCTTTGTGCCTTTCCGGTTTCATCATCTTTACTCCATGCTACTTACAAATCTGCAGAGTCACCCTAGCCGGTTTGGCTCAGTGAAGAGAGCATCGGCCCATGGACTAAAGGGTACCTTGGTTGCAGGCTCCATTCTGGCCCTGGAGGCAACCAATCAATGTGTCTATCTCACATCAATGTTTCTTTCTCTCTGTTTCTCCCCCTCCCTTTCACTCCCTCTAAAAATCCTTGAGTGAGGATTAACAAAACAAAACAAAACAAAATGTGGAGAGTGAACCCTTCTGTGGGTTCACAGTGCCTAACGCTGAGCTCGGACGGGCCGCCCACTCACCAGGCCGATGCACTTCTTCAGGATCCCCCACACACTGAAGTCACTCCTGGTGAACATCGGGGCCGGCAAGGACGTCCTGAAAAGCAGTAACCACAGCAATACATGTTATTATTAATCCAACATGAGGTTCCCTTATGACTGGTGATTTTGCTCAATGACCATTTTTCTCTAATTTTCCTGGCGTGCCTGGGGAGAAAAAGATCTGGCTCAGTCCCAAAGGAATGGACTTGTGGGAGGGACCCTAGGAGAAAATGACCATGACCATACCAATGACTCTCCTTCCAGAGCTGGGGACAGGTCGCCTTGTCCCCGGAGCAGCAGTGTACCAGCCGCCTGCAGCACTGCAGAACCATGGACAGAGGCCAGGCCACAAGGTCCCCAAGAGGGAACTACATTAAGAAAACCTTTTCAGCCCAGCCAGTGTGGCTCCGTGTCTGAGCATCAGGGCATGTGCCCAGGTTGCGGGCTAGATTCCCAGTAGGGGCATGCAGGAGACAGCTGATCGACGATTCTCTCTCATCATTGACGTTTCTCTCTCTCTCTCTCCCTCTCCCTTCCTCTCTCTAAAATTAATAAAAAACGACAATTTTAAAAAATTTTTAATAAAAAAATAATAAAATAGTTTAAAAGAAAGAAAACCTTTTCAGAAATGCATTGTTTGCCCCTTTCAATGTGTGTGTGTTCCTGAGGCACATTCCTGCCCCAGGGACCTCCCTGCAGACCTGTGGCAGCCCCACAAGCATGTCTGCACCATGAGACCCTGTTCACAGGAGACTGGGATGGGGAACCCCTGACCCAAGCGGGGCCTGGTCTCCCTTCTGGAAATTTGGCTGGGATGAGACCCTGATTCCATCTGGGAGGGAGGGGTGCCCAGTGGGACGGGGGTGCGGGTTTGCAGGAAGCGAGATGGACCCGAGACTGAAGACTGAGCCAGTGGTTCCCTGCGTCCCAGAAGCCCCCGGTGCTCCCCTGGACGGGTCAGTGCTCTTAGGACGGGAGGACCGTGAGTCAGTGCCTCTGCTCCAGCACTCTGCTTGGAAAGATGACAGCAGTGCTCTCACCCCATAAGGACCCCAAGCTCCCCCTTGGGGTGTCAGTTAGGGCAGCTGAGTCAGGGCACAATGCTTATTTTCAGGGATGGGAGGGAGAAGAGAGAGGCAGCTGGAGACGAAATGAGAAAAACTGCCATTTACAGAGCGCCACATGCCAGGCTGCCAGCAAATGACACCTGGTCACTTGGCAACTGTCATCTGGGCTGGACTGCGAGGGGGCTGAGAAGGGAGCATGGAGACAGGAGGGGAGAGGAGACAGCAGAGATGGAGGAGGCGGAGAGGGGCAGGCAGGCAGAGCCCGATGTGGGGGCCCTGGAGGACCCAAGAGAGCCACTGTGGCTGGGCCCAGAGACAACAGGGAGGGGGCCAGGGAGGAGGAGAGGATGCTGGCCCTCAGCCTAGAGGAGGTGACTTAGAGTTCACAGTCCATACCGAGGTACTTGTGAGAGGAAAAGGGTGCTATTAGCGATTCCCAAGGGCGGCACCATGTGAACACCTACCTGAGATGTTTTTCTTTCTTCCTCACCCAAGGACATTTTTTTAAATATATTTTATTGATTTCAGAGAGCAAGGGAGAGGGAGAGAGATAGAAGCATCAATGATGAGAGTCACTGATTAGCTGCCTTCTGCATGCCCCTACTGGGGATGAAGCCTGCAACCTGGGCATGTGCCCTTGACCGGAATCGAACCCGGAACCCTTCAGTCCGCAGGCCGTCGCTCTATCCACTGAGCCAAACCGGCCAGGACACCCGAAGATACTTTTTCCATTGACTTTTTTTTTTAAATATATTTTATTGATTTTTTACAGAGAGGAAGGGAGAGAGATAGAGAGTTAGAAACATTGATGAGAGAGAAACATCGATCAGCTGCCTCCTGCACGCAACCAAGGTACATGACCTTGACCGGAATCGAACCTGGGACCCTTCAGTCCGCAGGCCGACGCTCTATCCACCGAGCCAAAACAGTTAGGGCTCCATTGACTTTTAGAGAGAGTGGAAGGGAGGGGAGGGAGGGAGGGAGGGAGGGAGGGAAAGAGAGAGACTTGGATTGGTTGCCTCCTGCATGTGCCCTGACAGAGCTGGAGATCAAACCTGCAACCCAGGTACATGCCCTTGATGGAAATGGAACCTGTGACCCTTCGGTGCTTGAGCTGACACTGAGCATACTGGCCAGGGCCCACCTGAGAGTTTTAAGTGGGGGGTGGAGGTGGGGGTGGACGTGGCCTGCTTAGACCTGTCTGAAAAAGTGACTGCTGCAGCATGAAGAAAGAGGGGGTGTGGGTGCAGTTACAGGGTGAGTACAGGAAACCCAGGGAGTGCGGTGGATGTGACAGCAGACAGAAGGACTGAAAGGGCCCAGGCGTGTGTCAGAGTTGGGTAATGGGAAGGGGAGAAAAGGGGGCAGCTTCAGGGATGACTTGCCAATGTCTGGTTATGGACCAGTCGCAGGGTGCGGAGGAGGGGCTGACAGTAGAGGGTGGGCCTGCGTGGGCCAGGTCACCTTAGCATGCAGGAGGTGTGCCAACATCTGCAGAGCAAGCGAGCTAACAAGTAAAGGTATGAGTCCTCCAGGGAAGGAGTGGAGTAAGCATTTGGGCCTAAAGCTCAGAACAGGTCAGGAGGAAGGTGGATGCGCCCTGGAGCCCAGATGCAAGCCAGCTCGGGGTGGACAGAGGCCCACCTCCCACGGACACCACCTCACGAGCTGCACCCCGCCAACGAGCATCGGGTCACTGTCATCAGAATCTCCTGGCCTGTGAACGAAACACTGGGAGACTGGAATGTGTCTCCCTGCACTGAAGGAGGAGGGCCCCCTGCAGTGTGCCAGGCCCGGGTGTGGTACCAGGTCGCCCGCAACGCTCAGGCTTCCCAGACTGTGGGGCAGGGTGGCACGGTGCCAGCACTGTGGGGCAGGGTGGCACAGTGCCAGCACTGTGGATAGGGCCAGGAGTCGCACGGTGCCAGCACTGAGCTCTGGAAGTCGTGGCTGCATGGGATGCGGGGTCTGTCAGAGGAGCTGGCCCACACGGCCCTCAGGACTCGGAGTGTTGGGGGCCGTCACGGACACACTGGAAGATTCTAAATCACACACGTGGAACACCATACCTGTGTCTCTGAATCCCATTCTCCTGCGGGGGCCTCTCCCCAGCTTCCCCGATGCCGTTGCTTTTGCTGGTGTCCACAGGCAGCCCTCCGGGGGCTCTCTGACTGGCCTCTGAAAATTCCCCAGAAGAGTTATCAGAATCAAAGCCTGCGCAAGACAAACAGAGTGGTCATTTTTGCAGGATGTGGAAGATAAAAACCTGCCTCCCAGAATTCTGTGCAAGCAGAATACCTGAAGGTCTAGATTGCTTCTACGGGCACATTCAGAATAAGTCTGCTTCCCAAGAACTAAGGGCAGAGAAGCAGGAGCATTTTGGGGAGCTTCCAAGGAGACAGACCGTCCACTCTGACCAGAATTTCACAAACACCAGGTTCCTTCGGGCCTGCTGGGGACTGTCGCTAACCTGAGGTTCAGCCTCAGGGCCCTAGAACAGGGTTCCTGTGGCTTTATTCAATGGCTCACACCCTTCTGAGCCGGAGCCTCTACAGCGCTCTAACCTGGCCCTCAAGGAGGCAGCATGTCCTTTCTGCGCAAGGTCTGCGGTCCTGCTCCACACCTCATCTTAAGATCTAAGCCACTGGACTGGTTTCTAAGGAAGGCGGACACTGTGCCGAACAACTACCAGAACCAATCGGACTGATGGTCGCTGAGAGCGAGTGACTGGTTTAACTAGAGCACTCCTCCCCAGCAGAGAAAACTGGGAAAATGAGCTATTTCAGCCTCACATAAACTACAGTTGAATATGTTCTCCAGGCCACCCAGACTCCTCAAGAAGAGCGCCCACTAGGCCGTGCTCCGGGACCCTCCCCCAAAGGGCTTCCTCTCCAAGGAGCAGGCAACGGTGGGGAAGGAGGGCCTGCTCCCTCCACGAGAGAGCGGGTGCAGGCACTGGAGCACGGGCACTCTGCGCCCAAGCAAGGCAGAGGGGCTGGGCCACCAGGGCGAGGTGGCTCCTGCCAGTGACAGTGACGACCCAGACTACTTCAGCAGGGGCCTGTGCTCACAAGGAGCTCAGGGTTCCCCCAACAGCGCCATTTTGAAGAAAGTAAGGCAAGGCCCAGGTGTAAAGCTAGGGGCTAATTGTTGTCAGACCCGAAACCTACAACATCTGCTGCTAAGCCTCACTGAGAATAAGCAAAATATCTTCTTTCATATTCTCCCACACTGACAAATTTATACAATGTAGGAGTGAGATTCATTGCACAATGATTTTGAAAGGATATATTAAAAATGAACCTCTTAAATGACCACTGTCTTCTGAAAGAGCCTCTAATGTTCGCGGCCAATCCCAAAAGCACATCTACTTGACCCCCAGTCTACACTTAGCTTGAAACGTCCTGACTTAAGAGAATGTCTGCAGGGTCTGCCCACTGTCCTGTGCCAGGCGGCCTATCTCCACACACCTCCCTCAGTGCTGAGAGATTCATGCGGACCGTTCGCTTCAACTACAGCCGACATGTGCCCAGTAAACAGGCCACACGTCGCTGACAATTATGTTGAGGTCTTGCCTCAAATTAAGCCAGTGCTCTGTAAACATGTATTTACTGTAGAAAAGAGGAAACCTGAAATCACTTGTGATCTGATCCTTCAGAGACAACCCCTTCTAACAGGCCAGTTCGGGAAGTTTTAACCCTCAGTCAGTACACGGTTTCATGGACTTGAAGACCTTTTCATTTTAACAGTTCTGGATCCTGGAGGAAGTGGTTGCCTGTGGAAGTCATCCTATATAATATAAGGCTAATATGCAAATTGACCAAACGGCAGAATGACCGGTTGCTATGACATGCACTGACCAACACGGGGCAGAAGCTCAACACAGGAGCTGCCTCCTGGTGGTCAGTGCGCTCCCACAGGGGGAATGCTGCTCAGCCGGAAGCCCTGAGCCGGGCTCACAGCTGGTGAGCACAGTGGTGGCGGTGGTGGGAGCCTCTCCCGCCTCCCCTAAGGATGTCCGACTGACAGCTTAGCCCAATGGGAAGTGGGCCTAAGCCATCAGTCAGACATCCCCCAATGGCTCCCGGACTGCGAGAAGGCACAGGCTGGGCTGAGGAACCCCCCCCAACACCCGGAGTACACGAATTTCGTGCACCAGGCCTCTAATTCCTTTAATAACTGTTGGGTTCAGAGACTTTTTAGGTGAGTTACAAGGGGAGCCCAGTGCTCCAGACAGTGAAGCAGGCTGCTCTGCGTCTCTGTGGCTACTTCACTGCAAGGGAATCCTTCCCATTGTCATTCCTCCCATTGTTTGTTTTGGAACCAAAGGATGGAGGTGACAAATCATTTCACCAGCCTTTTCCCCCTTTCCTGAGTCCATGCAGAGCATTACTGCTGTGCAGACAGACAAGAGGCACCACCCGAACGCCACACCATGTGAGTTCCAGACCTCTCCGGGAAAATCCTCTGGCAGAAACTCAGATGGCCAGTGGTCTCGGTCACACTGGTTCCCAGGAGAGAGGGACCCATGGAGGCCAGCCTCTCTGGAGGCCTGAGGGCAAGTCCCTGAGCCTATCACCTAGTGGGGCTCAGTCTCATCAAGAGCTGAAGTGTGAAGAGCAGGTGAGTCACAGACACACCTCTGGGGGAACCTCCACAGGGCGCACCTGAGGGATGGCGGCGTGCTCAGTGCCCCCTTCCTCCTGGGTTTCCCACAAGAATAAATCAGTAATCTGGGCTGCCTGTCCATGCACTGGCCCCCACTCCTCCTTTGGGAAAGAGAAGCGTGGTGGTGATGGACGCACGCCTCGAGAACGTGCTGACAAAGCTCAGGGGACAGTGACAGCCATCACAAAGAATCTTGTGCTGTGCTGGGCGCCATGTCATTTTGGCGGTAACAGCACAGGTGACCCCCTGACTGCACTTGGAAAGACCGTCACTAACATCTGGATATCCAAAACAACATTCCAAAAGTGGGCCCTGAGGGTGGCGGGTAGAAAGTGAATGGCCATCTTGAACTTTAAGAGCTTTGGACCTCAAGTGGTCACTGTGATGGGGGGAAGGGGCTACTCTAAGTTTGTGTCCCGCCCAGCCCAGTGACCCAGCCTGCTGCCCCACCGCCCTCAGACGAACACTCCCTGCAACGCTGTTTCCACTCGGGCACACCCCAGCAGCTTTCCAACTACGGGCTATGTGCCACTACTTAGAATGGCTGTGGGAAAATGGAAAATAACTGAACTTTGAGCATTTACATGCAAGAGCAACTCTTTTAAAGACAAAAAACTGAATTGCCCTTTCTTATTATCTCCTGTCGTCTAAAGTTGAGCTTTCTCCCCAGATCTGGGAGTCAAGCCTGGGAACATGCTTTCCTGACCATCCTCACATCTGAAGAGTAGGTCTGAGACCCGGGTCCGTTCTCTGCGCTCACCTGTGACGGCATCAAAGAACTCCTCGTCCCCGTTCATCCTCGGCAGCCAGGAGCCCTGCCCCGATCTGCAGTCTCCTACTGAATCATTGCCTGGTCTACATTGACGGTGTCAGGTGCTTCACACGGGGAGCTTTGTGGGGTAAAATCCAATAGGTGGTGCAGATCTAAGGGGAGAAACATTTTGGCATACTTAACTTTCAGAAGTTTTATGGCTTAGAAACATTTTTCAAATACCCATTTGTCATTTTTTAAAATCAATCTCAATTACATCTTAGCAAAGAAATAAAATTAATGATTTAATGACAAATGCATGAGCCTGGCCAGGGGCCTCAGTTGGTGGAGCATCATCCCCTACACCAAAAGTCTGTGGTTCGATTACCGGTCAAGGCATATAACTAGTTTGTGGGTTCGATCCCCAGTCAGGGCACGTATGAGAGACAACTGATCAATGATTCTCTCTCATATCAGTTTCTCTCTCTCCTATCTTCTCTCTAAAAATCAATAAAATAAAATAAAAAACAGGCCTAGCTGGTTTGGCTCAGTGGATAAAACGTCAGCCTACGGCTGAAGGGTCCCGGGTTCAATTCCAGTCAAGGGTTGCAGGCTCGATCCTGGTGGGGGGCGTGCAGGAGACAGCTGATCAATGATTCTCTCTCATCATTGATGGTTCTATCTCTCTCTCTCCCTCTCCCTTCCTCTCTGAAATTAATAAAAAATATATATTTAAAACAAAACAAAAAAACATGATTTAAAAAAGAATTTTTTAAAAATCAATGAAAAACAAACAAGCATATCCTCAGTGAGAATTAAACAAAAATATTTTAAAATAACAAAATTTGCCTGGCTGGAGTGGCTCAGTGGTTGAGCATCAACCTATGAACCAGGTCAGGTTCAATTCCTGGTCAGTACACATGTCCAGGTTGTGGGCTCGATCCCCAGGAGGAGGTGGGGGGTGCAGGAGACAACCAATCAATGATTCTCTCTCATCATTGATGTTTCTATCTCTCTCCCTCTCCCTTCCGCTCTGAAATCAATAAAAATATATTTTAAAAATAACAGAATTCATGATTTCAGAAAATATGAGAGGAAACATTTATAATACAAATATCCAACAATAAATAGATCAATAAGTAATGATTATTTGAAGAGTTATTTTTATTTTAAAATCTTCATCTACAGCCAAGGTTAGTGGCTCAGTAGTTAGAGCACTGGATTTGATTCCTGGTCAAGGGCACATACCTGAGCTGCTGGCCCTGGTCAGGACGTGTGCGGGAGGCAACCAATCTATGTGTCTCCTTCACATCAATGTTTTTTTTCTCTCTCTCTTCCCCTCTTCGTTCCCTCCCTTCCACTCTCTCTAAAAATCAATGGAAAAAATATCCTCGGGTGAGGATTAACAAAAATAAATTAAAAATAAAACCATCACCTAAGTTGTATAAGAAATGGTAAAACGACTGGCTTGGGACAGTCACACGACCAGGATAGTTTCCATTCCCACATCCGAGGCCAGACAGAGCTCAGGGATGGTGCTGAAGTCTTTCTCAGAACAGGCAGGTGGTTATAAATGAAAAATCATGTTAAAATATTTGTTTCACATCAACAGGAAGCCAATTTTCAATTCTGGAGAAGCTGCTATATAAGTTAGCTATTATCAGCATAAACTGAAATCAACTTAAATTTCCTCAAAATTATTTTGGCTCAGCCCAGCTGGCATGGCTCAGTGGTTGAGTGTCAACCTATGAACCAGAAGGTCACTGGTTCGATTCCCAGTCAGGACACATGCCCAGGTTGTGGACTCAATCTCCAGTATGCGGTGTGCAAGAGGCAGCCAATCCATGATTCTCCCTCAAGTCTAACAAATGCACCTTTACGTTTTTCTTAGAAAAACAGATCTAGTCACTTGGGAATCAGGTGACTGGATAAGAGCTTGCGGACCTGGAGGGTTTATGTCCACAGTCAGCTCACTAAAAAGCAGGGTTTCGTGTTCTTTCTCTTCTCTATAAAAATGGGCAAGGCAACCGGGATGTAATCTTCACAGAGCACAGAAAATTCACCAATGATACAAAAACTCTGGGTCCTCTTTGGAGGTTAACTATGAATTCTGAATTTAAATTGTTCAAAGTAATATAAATTACATATAATAACTTCAAAATGCATTAGCAAGCAACCAGACAGAGGATAAATAAAGAGAGGCCTTCAACAACAAACTAACCCAACATGATCCAGCAGACACATGCAACATATACATTCTCCTCTGGTGCACACGGGACATTCTCCAGGACATGTGAGACCACAGATCCATCTCAGTGGATTTAAAAAGGCAGATATTATACAAAGCATCTTCTCTGACCACAAGAAGATGAGTTATAAATCAACAAAAGTAAAACTGGAAAGCCCACAAAACCGTAGAAATTAAATAGCATGCTCTTAAACAGCCCATGGATCAAAGAAGAAATCACAAGGGAAATATCCTCGGATAAGGATTAACACAACAAAAGCAAGGAGGTTGAATCAGTAATAAAAAAGCTCCCAACAAAGAAAAGCCCTGTATCTGATGGCTTCACTGGTGAATTCCACCATTTCAATTGGAAATAACGTCAAACCTCCTCAAAGTTTTCCAAAAAACCTGGAGATGGAAAAACTTCCTAACTCATTCTATGAGGCCAGCACAACCCTGACACGAAGGCCACATAAAGACACTACAAAAAAAGAAAACTACAGACTTACATCCCTTATGAACATTGATACAAAAAATCCTCAACAAAATACTAGCAAAGTAAACACATTAAAATGCATTCAGCAACACATTCAAAGGATTATACACCAAATGGGATTTATTCCTGGAATACAAGGATCATACAAAGATCAATGTAATACATCACATTAACAGAATGAAAAAAAACAACCCATGATCATCTCAATGGATGCAGATAAACCATTTGACCAACTTCAACACTTCATGATAAAAAACAAACAAACAAAAACACACTCAATAAATTAACAATAGAAGGATACTACCAGAACATAATAAAAGCCATAGTTGAAAACTCCACAGGGAACATCATGCTCAAAGGTGAAAGACTGAAAGCTTTTCCTCAAAGTTCAGAACAAGACAAGGATGCCCACTCACCAATGCTATTGATCATAGTACTAGAAGTTCTAGCCAGAGTAATCAGACAAGAAAAAGAAATGAAAGGCATCAAAACTCAACAACAACAAAAAATAACCCGATTCAAAAAGGGGCAAAGGACTTAAATAGACATTTCATTTCACCAAGGAAGATGCACAAATGGCCAACAGGGTGGCCTTGACAGGCAGGCAGAGGGGACACCAGCCTGACCCTGAGGAGCCAGGGGACCAGCACTTCTGGTTGGGACCTGACAGGTGATGGCCTAGAGCCCCACCATCCACAAGTTTCCCCAAGTCCCTTGCCTCCCCTAGAAACTGATATTCAACAGTGAGCGCCAGAGACACACCAGATACTTCGAGGAACAGGGTCATGAATCTAGAACAATCCAGAACAAAGTGCTTCAGAACCCACACAAGATGAATGGAGGCTCTTCCGCGCAAAGTGTTTGTGTCGATGAACCCTGTCATTCTGTTCTGTAGCAGAGAAAAGCAGTTCCAATGCAGGGAGAGGAAGGAAGCTCAGGGCAGCAGCCCCGCCCACCCAGGCACCATGCACCCTGAGAGCAGTGGAGAAATCAGACCATCAGTAGGGCCACTGCCCCCTGCCCGTCCACTTCCGAGAGCAGAACCAGAGCCCTGGACCAGCAGGTGGCGACTGGACAACTGGAAGACCCAGCATTGCAGCCCTAGGGGCAGTGGGAAGCCCTGGGGGGGTGTGGAGCATGCCCACCCCCCACCACCCCACCTGAAGCATCTATGCAGTCAGACCAGATGCTTCGGATGCCATCTCCATCTGACAGAATCCAGTCTGAGACCCTCGCCCTTTCGCCTGCTGCCTCTCCCACCCCAGGGCCTTCCTTGTCAGTTCTCACACAAGTTCCACCTGCTCAGTCTCTGAACCAGTTTCACTGTGCTGAGAAACTGGTCACCCTAACATGAGACCTGCCCGCTCACTCCCAACTACACTTCCTGAGCCCTAATGAGGGTGGGGTTTAAACCAAGGTCAGGAAAATCCCTGAATTACTATACCCTCCCCCCCAAAGAGAGAAAATAAAAAGGGAGAATGACAAACTTTTGTTTGTGTTCATTTTTCCCCAGGAAGATGACTCAGACTCTCCACTAGGTTTTCAAAGGGGTCGCTGATCCAGAACAGGGTTAAGACCCCACCAGGGGTTCCAAGCATGGCTGAGGGCATAGCAACATGGTGGGATGTGCTGCACATCCCCGGGCCTCCCTCCCGAAGCCGCACTTCTTTCTTTCTTTCTTTCTTCCTTTCTTTCGTTCTTTCGTTCTTTCTTTTTTTAATATATTTTTATTGATTTCAAAGAGGAAGGGAGAGGGAGAGACACATCAATAATGAGAGAGAATCATGATAGGCTGCCTCCTACATGCCTCCCACTGGGGATCGAGCCCGCAATCGGAGCATGTGCCCTGACTAGGAATCAAACCGGTAACCTCCTGGTTCATGGGTTGACGCTCAACCATTGAGCCACACCAGCCGGGCCAAAGCCCCACTTCTTATGAGGTTCCCAGCAGCCAGGTGAAAACCCTACAAAGTCAGCCAGGGACCTTCTACCCTGATGAGCATCGGCAGTCAACCCCATGCATGCAGAACTGCCTTAAAAACAGAACCGTGGCAACACTGGGGGCTGCACCTGCACAGGAAACCACATCCCCTCCCTCCTCACTACCTGCTCCGCAGGTGGTATAACATTTCCCACGCTAATTTCTCTGTGGAATCCCAGCACTCCGAGCCTAACTCACCTCGAGCTCAGTACAATGTGGCCCTGGCCCTTCTCCTTCAGTGTCAGACAGGTGCCTGTTAATATCTGCCACCACTGCAGTCCTTAAAGCTTCTGCAGGGACATCAGATCACACAGCCACCCTGATATTAGGGCACTAGTGGAAGTCACTTTCCAGCCAAGCCCAGTGTACAGGTGCCAGATGACAGCTGACTTTTCTCTCTCAGCCTGGGAGCAGCCTTCGTTGGTTCAGTGGGACACACAGCTCTCACCCTGTGTGTCACAGCCTGCCC